CTGGCCGGTCATGCCTGCCAGCCCTCCCGAATGACCCGACTCAAGGACGCGCCGGCCCGGCGCTGGGCGGCACTTGGACCCGACCCAGCCGCACCCCTGGGCGGATCAAGTTAGAAGGTGTCGTCACGGGCTAGTGCGGCCGCATTCACTCGCCTGGTGTGGCTTTTTTTTCTTACGGAAACCGGGACAGGCTGTCGCTAACGTGCCGAGGGCAATGCGGTCGAGCCAAAACGTCAGCGATTTTTCTCCGAACCCGACAATGCTGCGAGATTTGACGCGGACAGTACAGCGCTGTTTGTCACGCAGTGGCTGTCAGTTGGGGAGGAGTCTCCTAGCAACCCACAATTAGCCAGCACTGCAGATTCGTCCCCGCCCGGCGCCAACGGCATGCTGTGCCAGAGGGGCGTGTCGCTCCGGCCACTGAGTGCGTGGCTACAGTGCTGCCGCCGCCGCCGCCATGGGGCGGTGGCGGCGGCTCTTTGTTACCTGCGCGTGTGGGCTCTGTAGCGGGCGGGGGCCGGCGCCGCCACCCGTCGGCCCCTGCCGCCGCCAGCCGGCCTGTCGCCCCGACGGCACACAGCGGGATACACAAAATAAACATGTATTCTACCTACGATGCGATACCATACCATAAGGCGATTCACTGTGGCGCGCGGGCGACCGGTCAGCTGCCGGGCGGCCCCGTGTCCAGCTTGTCCAGCTGCTGGCTGCGCGCAAGCACCTCGGCGTAAGTTGGCGGCTCTGTGCACTTGTCGCCGCCCTCGGCACCGCGCACCACGTCCTCGTAGGCCGGTGGCCGGTCCGTCTCGGAGCCGGCCGGGCCGCGCACGCGGGCGCCGCCGCCGCCGCCCGCCTCGGCGTCGGCCGCCTCACGCTGCCGCTTCTTCATGCACAGGTAGAGGAATGTCAGAAAGTACACAATCACGATGAACACAATGACGTAGATGAAGACGTCCGAGTTGATGAGGTTTTCCTCAGGCCGTTCGCCGTCGGGCAATGGGTCGGAGCCGTTGTCGGCGGCCGAAAGCTGGTCGGCGGCCGTCAGCCGCGGCACCTGCGTTAGCCGGGGCTCAGTGGGCCCGGCGCACAGCTCTTGCTGGCCCATCATGCACATGCACTGGCTGAAGAGGTCCTGCCGGCGCTCCGGCTCGCTCAGTCGCGACAGCTGCTCACATTGGGCGCGCGCACCGTCTGCCATGGCTTCGAGGTACGCGGCGCGGCGCCGCTCCACGCCGGCTGGGTGCGGGACTCGGCGCTGGCCCGACTGCGACCCTCCCCACCGCCGTCTCTGCGCTCACTGGCGGACGGCCGCGCCGCCAGGCTTTATCGGTCGGCCGCGGCGCGTGACGTCACGGAGTCGGCGTACTCGGCGGCTGCCCTCCCCTCTCCGCGGGGCCCGCTCGTACCTCCGCATATGCGCGCGAGCGTGGCGACCGGATGGCGCGTGGCCTGTGTGAGGACTTGTGCCCCCTCCCCCCTCCCCGGCGGACGGCGCGTGTCACGCGACCCACGTGCCGCACGTGGCGCGCCCGCCGTTACCCGCTGATGAGACGATACATGGTCTGGGAGGACGATCAGCGACGCATCGTATGGTTATTGTGGAGGTCGGGGCGTCGGGGGAAGGGGGATAGAGTTATCTTACGTCCGGTGTGAGTTGGTGAGGTGCGCCCTCGTGGCTGCTGCTGACTGCGGTGACGACTGGTCAGGCTGTTTGGCATTGCTGGAGGCCCACTTTCAGGGCTGATACCCGTGCTAACTTCGTCTGCAGATGGTTTGTTTTGGAGCTGCAGGAAGAACAGCCGACTCGCGCCGCAAGACAGTCCCTTCCTGTGTAGCGTCCATGGCCTCCGTAGTTAGCGGATTCTAAAATACCGGTGGGCAACAACACCCGCGGGGTGCGCCGTGGGGCACCAAGTGTCACAGCCAACGTGAATGCCACTTCAGCTGTTCGTGACCTGCACGCTGTGTGGATCTACACAGGCTGTCGCGGGCGCGGGAATGTAAAGGTTGTGCCCCGGGGGCTGCAACCTTTACTGACTCGCTGTTGGCCGAATCTCCCATGTTGCGCTGCACGCCGCCGTCCATTAGCAGCCCCCCCCCCCCCCCCCCCGGCCAGTGACATTGTGTGTTGCTTCCGCTGTCCTCGGTTTTGTGCATCCTGGCAAATTGCATGCAAAAACAAGCATCATTTTATAAAGAATGTCCGTAAACCTCGGCCGGCAGGGTAGTTGAGTTCCCCGCACGGCTTTTCGAGCGCAAACAGAAAACGAACACTCGCAGCAGCACTAAGTTTTCAGTACGTGTTCACCTATCAATGTGCCATCTTTTGCGTAAGTTTGAAGTTTTGCTCTGCCAAGGTCAGTTACCTATGTCAAGTCAAAGAGGTTAGCTTCTAAGAAAAGCTATGACCATTCATAACTTTTTTTGTACGCCATTTGCCATTCATCAAACTTACATAGTTGTAGAACATGATAGTACCTACAGTTTGCCTATTTTTGATTTTGCGAAAGAGGTAAGGTCAGTGATCTGAGGTTAGGTCAGTTTTTGCTATTTGTGAGAAATAATGCAGTTTTTGCGTATTTTGTACAGTTTTGGTATTTGCATTCGATGAAACATGCACAACCATCATGTGACCACAGAGCACATGATACTGGCCCAGGTCATAACCTCCTATATGGGTACCTCCAGCAAATCGCTTGCTGAGCTTGAAAAAGGCTATATTGCAGGCGGTTTTGGGCGCAGGATTAGAATAATCAACTGAAAACATGTTATGATATCATTTAAGTGCATAATGAGGTTGCAAGAGGTCACGTATCACGCAAGGACATACAAGGTCATATGGGATCATGAAAGTCCCATGGCATCTGTTAGACACGGCGAGACAAGATGAACGAGTGCGACGCGGGTAATACCTTTTTATCACATTTGTGAAGCTGATGACGTATAATGTCATGTGGCAATGTGCTTGTTCTCAGTTTGTTACAAATGCACTGCCAAGCGTCGAAGGGGCTATGTATAATGTACACAAGAGCCGTGCGATCTCGAGCAACTGTTGTGTACAGTGTACAACACTGTATCTTACCACAGAGAAGCAATGCACGGGTCACTTAGACTCGGTTAGCACTAGCACATGACTGTATCTGTGGGGACGACTGTTTTCCTTTCCTGAACTCAAGTGGCCTCACGTTTGATCTAAGGTGAATAATTCGTTATGTTTTCTTGATGGCTACGAGACCTCCACAATGGTATGTTCGTTTTTCTCGTACGACGTCTGGAAGCTGAAGATCCTGGGGAAGTCAACTTTCCTCGGCTGGATGCGGTTATTGTATCCCTGAAAAGTTGTAGCAATGAGCATTTGTGATGCGTACTACTGATCGCAAACGGCGTGTTACTGCATCTTCCCGCTGAAACGCAATGACCCCGGTCGGATACAGGTGAAACCAGTCTCAAAAGCTTATACCATCTGGCCATGCGATATTGCGCGCTTTTGGTCGGCAGCGATTTCGTCATAAGAGCCCGACGATTTATTGGCAAGGAAGCGCCAAGCTCGCGACCAACGTGTTCATCAGCGTGTTCATCATCGTGTTCATGATTTTGTGGGTCATTGCCCGGACTCCATGTCCTCTACCTATTGCACGTACAGCTGTGTGACCGGTGGTGTATGTGCGAGCGTCCTGCTTTCCAAGGACACAACCGCTGGTGGTCTAGGGGCTGTATCCCTCAAAAGTTGTAGCAACGAGTATTTGTGTTCCGTACTACTGATCGTAAACAGTGCGTTTCCTCACCTTCCCCGATGATACAATGTCCCCAATCTCTGGGACCTGGCTCCACCCACCCTGCACTCCGCACGGAACGGTCGCCCTTCAAGCTACGCGGCCCGATGCTCTGGCTGAGCGGCAAATGACTTTTTTAACCGATGACATCAAATTTAGATATCGCTGGCCGTCGACCTATCTCCTGTTTTGCGTTAGGGCCTTTTGGCCCGTATCTCGCGACGTTCCCCTAACAGAAGGCGTATGAACCGGTACGGCCAGTCCATGTGACCCCGTGACGTCAGAGATCAGGGGTCGCCACAGTATTTGTGAGGGCTGATCAGGTGGTCACTGCTGCTGCGTTGTGCCAGGTCAGATCCACGACAGACAGACAGACAGACGGACAAATGGATTTGAAACAGATGGAGACGGTATTGCAGTTACTTCGCAAGTTGTAGGTTGAGAACGCCAGGGCTTGCGGGGATGCGGGCCGTAGGAATAGGTGAAGGGATGGACCCCGCCAAACAAGTATTTGTGCGGGGTTTATACAGTTGTGCAGCCACAGCGCTCTATCTCCACTTTCAGTACAGAGTTCACTGCGCTGTCGTCTCAGTTATCCTTCTTATCTCCAATATGTTTTGAGCAAGAAACCTTACCGACGGTGACAATTCTCATACACCAGACTCTTTGGTGCTCTGCGCCAAGCATGGTGAGCATATTTTAGCAGCCTTGACCATCGCAAATTTGAACAAAATCCCTGCCTGAGCAGATGATCCTTTCATGGGAAAGGATTTCAGCCGGCGCGCCATCCGGATTCGCCCAGCGGCATGTAGCTGTGTGATTGGGGCCAGTTTAATTTGAATTTCGGCTGCTTATATATGCAAGGTAGTGGTGGCGCCTTGCGGAGTCGTTCCTCGTGCATGTTTTGTCCTTGCGTCGGGATAAGAACACCGCGCTTTGCATCCTTCGATATGATCGACGGCAGCGCTCATACCCCTGCGGCCTGTACCTATTTGAGCGTCCGCCGCCTATCGCTGGAGAATGTGGCGTACGAGCTGTGACAACGACCACACCAGCTTCCATAGAAATGCCCGCAACTTCAGATGTGGCCGTTGAAGCATGCTCATCTCAATCGCTTCGTCACACCTGCTCTCGCCGGCGCTGCTGCAGCCGTACCCCTGCCCTGCGACAATGACACGGCGGGGCCGAGAACGCCGCGCTGACTGCGTCCCGTCCCTCGTGTTGCAGATCGGGGCGCGCACGTGAACGCTGTGAACGCGGAGGGCGCCACGCCGCTGCACGACGCCGTGCGCCGCGGCCAGCTGGACGTCATCGAGGAGCTGCTGCTGAGCGGCGGCAACCCGCTGGCGCGCGCCACCGAGGGGTGAGTGAGGCTGGAGTCGGGCGTCACGAGGATGACCGCGGGCGAGGCAGCAGGCGGTACATCCCCTTTCTTCCAGCGTGAGACGCTGGCGACGCCATGTAGCTTCAACAGCTGAGGGCGTCGTAAAGCCACAATGACGCGGCCGGGGCGGAAGGCTGGTGTAGATGGGACGTGATGGGCCTCTCGGAAGGTGCCACAGTCTTCGAAGTGCTGTGAGAGATTATACACCTTATCTTGTTTCGTAAATTAGATTTCTACTAAGCACCGAAGTGGCGGTAGGCAATCCCACAACAAGCTACTACGGTTTGAAATGGCTTTGGGTTTAAGCGTGTTTAACATTCTTGCAGCGATTGGGCATGTCCTGTCTTCTTTGTACAACAGACCAGGAATGACGCGGGCAATGAGGTCAGCTGTCAGATCGGCGTCGCCGTGAGCGGTGTTACGCTGCGTGCGCGTGTAAAAGGCTTCGTCTCTGGCAGCTCCGTCAAAGCTTGACAGGTTTGCAGCTGGGTCAAGTTGTGTGAGCCGCGTTTTGCAGCGAGATGATCCTGCTACATGATTGGTTGGTGTGATCTTCGCCCGGGAGATGTTGACGTCTGCTCTAAGTATTCGCGTTATCATTGGTCTTTGAACGAAGGATTTCCCGGTGACGTCAGCAGCAGCGGCCACACTGTTTTTCCCCGTGTGTATGTCGCAACAAATCCCGAACAGCGAGGCGGCACTGGGCAGCGCCATTGTCATGGGAGAGCAGCTGTCGATGTTTGAACACATCTGGCCGGCGTGCCGAACAGCCGCTGATTCGGAGGGGCGCGTCCGACTCCCCCCCCCCCCCTTCCCCGACGTCGATGGTCGGCTATACTTGGCCAGGCTGGGTCATCAGCACAGCGGGCTAGTCTGACGCCGGGTGTGGACGTGAGCTAAATCTGTGCGTACAGGACGTACAGTGGTCGTTCGCATCACCCGGTGACAGTTCTGTCGTGCCTGCTGTGGATGTGGACTGAGCTGCGGTTGGTAGGGGATTGAACTGCCCAGCCGGCGTTGCCGCGGTCCGCGCTGATGATCTGGGACTCGTAACTCAGCGATGCTGGAAACGATTCACATTATGTTCACATTGCTTAGCGCGGCAAGTCAAATGCGTCTCTGGCCAGTTCGCACCTTGCCAGAGAGAGTCGTTCTGACGTTGGTCTTGCATTGCTTGTCACGGAACATACCCTTTCCCGCAGTCCGGCGTGTCTTAAAGGTCGGAGACGAAATAATTTGTTGAAAAGAAACCTAGTACCTGACTCGTGCGTTGAGAATCCATACAAGTTTCCATGTCATCATGGAACTTCACATTCCATGCAAGTTTCCGATAACATGCATTATATGGCCAAAGCTACCCGTGCCAAATGTTCTGATACCCTGTAGGTTCGCCCGCGGGCCCCTGGCTGTCCGGTCGACGCGTCTCTCGCCACACCCTGACCTGTGGTCCGACGTGACTCTTAGATCGGAAGGTTAACTTGGAGTTGTTATGCCGAAACAACAACCCTCAGGACACGAAGAATTGCTGGTTAAAAGACGATGTCAAGCAGTAGTTGAAGCGTATCGTGAAAATGCTCAACGTGTCCAGTTTTGCTTATGGTTATGAGGCTATGGGCATGCTCTGGGTTTCTGGAGTCATAACCCTGTGGGGAGGCGGTTCCCCAGGGGTCTAAGATCGCAGTACCCTAAACACCAAAAGAACCTTTTGGCACCAAAACAAAATCCAGAGCCTCAAAAGGCCCTTCGAATATAAAAGCCGGGGACCTATAGCGACGAAGCGATGTGGCAGCCCCTTGACGAAAAGAGCCCCTATGCTCCGATTTGGCCCCCGACCGAGCGAAATCCTGGCTACGCCGTTGTCCTGCGGTATGTCAGTTCAATACACGACAGGGAGTTTGCTCGTGCTGGGCGGCTGGCGTGGTTATGGACGAGCGAGCGGACACTCTTGCGGATGAGCCTTATGGGCATGGGTAAACATTTAGGCTCAGATGACATTGACTTACATTTGTTTATGGGGGTGGTCTCGACAACAAGGTGCAAGTCGCTCGAGTCTGCTGCGTCGATCCTGAACACGCGAAGCCGTGCTGTTTTGACATCTTCGTGTCTCGTCACGGATCGTCATCTGGGCTGCTTGTGCCTATGTCGCATAGGCTCCGGGGCCATGGCACTGCTGTTACTGTCGAAAACTTTCATACAGTCATTCTCGCTTCCAAGCGCTTCAACAGTATATAGTAATTGGCTGACAATCAGATTCTGCTGCTGATCGCATGTCCCGATCGCGAACGCCAATTCACCGTAAATAACATGACTTTGGGTAAGTGTTAAATATAACTCACATGAGGCACGAGCATATCGAATAAATTAAGAAAGCGTCCTAACAAGACATGCACATGTAGGTAAGGAACGTGCCACCGTGGATAAATACACAAGAACACCACGAGAAACGGCCAAAACACACGGACATAACGCTGGTAAAAATTTGCACGCAGAAACCAACAACACCACCCTGCGGCGCGTAGAAGTGACACAAGTGAGTCACGCGGTAGCGACTCTGACGTCATGACACAGCTCAATGACGTGACCAAATGATAACGTGTTGAAGGGCATATGTACTAATTAATGAAATGTTGTTATTTAGAGCAGACTTGCAGTTAAAAGCATACCGATAGTTCCAAGTGAGCGGTTTCCACCAAACATAATGTTTGCTTCAGTATCTTCAAACGTGGAACAGCCCCTTTGACAAGTACGTCCTGTTGTGTGCAAAGTCAGTTATGTTCACCACATTGCTCAAAATCGCAAATAACAGGAGCTAAAGGTCTTTATTCATAGCATCGCCAAGTTAAACCCAAGGCACTTGCGTCGCGGGGGGTGCTGACGGGGGTGCTGCCAGATGGACTGGTGCTCGGCTGTCCTGCTGACACCGGTCTGACCCTGTGGTGCGGCCGGCTGACGGGGGTGCTGCCAGACGGGCTGGTGCTCGGCTGTCCTGCTGACACCGGTCTGACCCTGTGGTGCGGCCGGCTGACGGGGGTGCTGCCAGACGGGCTGGTGCTCGGCTGTCCTGCTGACACCGGTCTGACCCTGTGGTGCGGCCGGCTGACGGGGGTGCTGCCAGACGGGCTGGTGCTCGGCTGTCCTGCCGACATCGGTCTGCTCGCGGCTGATGGCGCTCGACACCGGGTCGCGGGCGGGGCACCTCCGCCGCCGGCAGGTGGTGTGCTCACGCTGGGTGGTGTCAGCTCACGCTGGGTGATGTCAGCTCACGCTGGGTGATGTCAGCTCACGCTGGGTGATGTCAGCTCACGCTGGGTGATGTCAGCTCACGCTGGGTGGTGTCAGCTCACGCTGGGTGGATGTCAGCTCACGCTGGGTGATGTCAGCTCACGCTGGGTGATGTCAGCTCACGCTGGGTGATGTCAGCTCACGGTGTGGTGTTCAGAGGGAAGCGCAATCGTTCAATTTGTGTCTGAATAATGCTTTATGTGAATTGCGTGCTCGGGGCAATATGACTGATGCGTGCGACTTTTCGCCAGCTGTGGTTGCAAGCTTCTCTCCGCTGTTCTTGGGTAACTTTTGATAGTTTCCAGCAGACTGACCAAGTTTTCGGTTTCCGTCAATTGAATAATGTGACACGTTCTGGCGAACGTTATCTAGGTACAAAGTCAGGTCAAGGATTCATGTCAGCATTGAAGGGATATGAGCAAGGATATCTGTTTGTAAAATCGGTCGTTGGTGACTGCGGGACTAAGTCAAAAAGATTGATGTGACCTACCCCAGACCCTGATTTTTTCCCGCATTTCCGTGCTGACTGAAATTTGCGTCCGCGATGTTGAAATTGGAAGAAGCTTTTTCAATATTTCGTCGAAAAAAATTGGTTTCCTGCAGGGCAATGACTTTCTATTTCAAATTAATGAAAGCCGTGTTTGGTAAAAGCTTTGAATGGGGTGTGATGCGCATAAAAGAGCATCTTTATTTATCTCAGTAAGGAGTCGCTCATGACTACTGCTGCTGCTGATCGTGTTGTACAGTCGCGACAGCCGCGGTTATGGAAAAAGACACTTGCCACTGTTATCAATTAATACATACTGCAGTGAATTGTTCTTTTTCTCAATCCAGTCGTTATCTTCTGAAAACAAACATTTCGAACATTTCCACACTGGCCTAGCATATGAAGGAGTTGGCCCGACAAAAACATCAGGTACCTTCAGGATACCACTTGCAACAAGATTAGCGTGGTACTAATAGTGATGTGTTTGGGTGCCTGCCGTAAAGTATTCCAGTAGTTCAGATAATTGTTCTGCATTTGATTCAGCATTTCATCTTTTCTCATATGCATTGAGAAGGCTTAGAGAAGCATGGAAGGGGTGGGGGGTCGGGGTGGGGCTCAAGTCGGCGCTGGAGGGGGCGCTCAGCCCCCGGAAAACATAAAAAATGACGCCCCTAGATGCACCTCAGCCTGCGCTTTTAAAGACAGCAATTTTGAGTTTGAATCATTGGCCATTTGGTTTGTGCATTTTGTTTTATCCATGTCAATGAGTTCAATGAGTGTGCGTTATTTATCACAATGTTATTGTTTTCATCCTACAATGATATTATTTTAATGTAATTTTCCGCTGCTCTGATATGCAGATCAGGCAAAGTGATGAGGTATGACACCATATCTGTTCACAATGAAAGGTCATGGCCGGTCAGTCTATGCATGCCGGACTCGTGATTTGTGTTGCTCATTTGTGATAACTCGACCAGAAAACCCAGCGCGTTGTTTCGAACTAGTGAGCACCGACCAGATGTGAGTCGCACTAAGTAAAAAAAATTGATCCCGGCAGTCGCTCGGCGGGATCGCCGCGGCGGCCCAAGCGCGCGCCGGATACTCGGGCGTGATCGGCGACGCCGCCGGCAAACACGCCAGCCACATGTGTGACCGCGACAGCCGGCTGCGGCACACAGCGGTACAGCGGTACAACGGCGCAGCCGGAACAGGTGGCCCGCCGGGCTCATCGCAGCCGCAAGTGTAATGCAAAATTAGCATGAAATTGCTTTGCCTGACCTTGACTAAGCACATTCGTCTGCTCCTGACCAGCCGACCTTGATATGGGCTGGCCGGGATCGCTTACCTTTTGAACTCAATGATGAATAACATGTGCCCAACGCATCATAACATAACTTGTTCGTTTTAACAACCTGCGATGCTTTGCGACCAATGTAACTGGCCCGGCATATCCATCACTCTGTTGAAGTATTTTTATGTTTTACCAAGGATTTCACGTGAGCTGTGGCGTTATCAGTTACGTGGTATATGTCCACGTCCTGTTCTCAAGGATAATCAGTGCCATCAATTGCCGCTTCAGTTTTCCCGTGCCAGCGATGAGATCCTGAAGCAGCGGGGAGACGGTAGGTGTTCCCCAAGGCGGTTGTGGTTGGCAAAATACCCCGAGACATGCCGGGCTGTTGTGTTATCTGCCCTCCTCATCCTTGCCCTCGTCCGAGTTATTGCGATGAAGTGACTTGACCACGTTTTTTGTGGATTCTCTCGCGTTCTGGAATCATATGCTGTGATCTCAAACGATTGGCGTCGCTGGGACAGCGCCGCGAATCGAAGAAGGCCAGGAGGCAGCGCCCTGACCTCCGTTCCCAGGTCCGACTAGCATCGGACGCTGGGTAGATGAGCGGTGGGTTTTACCACCGCGGCCGTGCGCTCTGTGTTGATAAGCCGTCTGTGGCTCTGAGTCGGGTCAAAGCCGTGCCGTCCAACCCGTTTTCGTCCACGATGTGAAGCGCTAGGGGCCGTGCCATTTTGGGGTTCACCGAACTCGTTCTGGTCATGAGCGACGCAAACAAACCAATTTTGCGCAACGGAAATGGATGAATAAATCAAAAGTAAGCATATCTTAATCAATAACCAACCGATAAGCAATCCGTGGTTGATAATATGTTTCCAAGAGGTCAATATATAAAAATATCAGTAAACAAAATCTGAAAAACAAGCCCACCGCATCGGACGCCTGCGCTCACTCGACGCGATGTAAGATACCCGGTTTAGTTTTGCTTTATAGAACGGGCTACGGGAGAAGGAATCGCAGCAACGGCAGAAGGCCGCGGCGTTGTGCGGAGCTGAAGACATCACCTGTCATAAGGAGTACGGTAGCCCCGAGGCGTTTGGCTCGCGTCACAGCCCGTGGGGGGGTCTGCTGGTGGGGTGGTATATTATGACACACACGCACGCACGCACGCACGCACGCACGCACGCACGCACGCACGCACGCACGCACGCACGCACACACGCACGGAGTGCTCGAGCTCTTTTGACCAGAGCCCTGCCAGAGAACGCCACTTCACACTCAAAGAGAGGGAGGTCAGCCATGTTCTCAGACTGGTCCAGGAGAAGCCATTGCTCTGAGCGTCCTCATTACCAGACGGACCGCAGGCTATGCGTCACTCAGCACCTGTCCTTTCAGGTCAGGTGGCGCATTTTTTTTTGTCCAGCCTGCGTGCCCGCCGTAGCGTCAAGGTCGGATCCGGGATCGATGTGCCTTCCTTCGATACGATCGATGAGTGATCCAATTTTATCATACCACAGATAGAGCCAGACCCAGACCCGTGTAAAAAACCCTGCCACCAATTTTGTTTTGCTAGGCGGTGCTGGAAAGCTGGGGTGTAGCTTTTTGGCAGACCAGGAGAAAATTTACGAAAGTAAAATAAAAGCAGGCGCGTCGCAGGGCCGCCGGGCGGAGCTGGCGGGTTTATGCGTCGTCAGGATGCCGCTGGAGGGTGCGGGTGCACCGGCGAGCACGGAGCCTGTTTACTACCACCAGGTGCCGCCGGCCATAAGCAGCTGCGCGGGGCGTGCGTGCGACAGCATGGCCCGCGCCCTCTTGCGACCCCTTGCCAGACTATGGAAAAGTACCGGCGGCGCTCGGCGTCGACCGGCGCCGCCGGCGGCGCTCGGAAACGATCGACAGCCCGTTACTGGTAGCGGTTGCTGTGCGGCTGGCTGGCGGGCTGAGTCCTCGGGCAGGCCCGGTCAATAGGTACCCTGCGCAGCCCCGCAACGTGGCGCGTCAATAGGGTCGCACGTGCTGCCGTGGCTACGGGGACGCTCGCCGTTCGCTCTGGCACGTCTCCTGCAATGCGTGAAAGGCAAGACACTACTCGCTCCGTCGGCTGCTCGTAGGGTCCGTTGTTGGACTGAACCAAACCCTTCGCTGTCTCGCTGAAATCACACTTCGAATTTGTCGCTCGTATTGCACGGAATCCAGCGATATAGCTGAAGAGAGGTCGGTGTAAAACAGAGATGTTGCAAAGTTTGACGGAATTCGGCAGTGCCCTTGCTGGTCCGGGAGCGAGCTGGCACCCATGCAGGACTTTCCACACAATATGCCGCCAGGTGCTCTCAAATGTTTGGAAGCCTGACTATGCCACAGTATCGCCCACCCGCTCACCCCCCTGTTGCGAAACACATGGAGTCTTCTTGCGCTGATGTACACAGGTGAACGCAGGGCGTGTGCAGTGTTGAAGGCACATGCTCTTCTTGGATACGCCTTTTTATTTGATGGTCTTGTCATGCTTAACGCATGAATTGTATGTCAACAGATGCTCGAGATCTTGCCTTTGGCAAAAAACGTTGATGATTTTTTCCAGATTGAGGTGAAGACTTTTGGTGGAAAGGATTTCTAGATCAGTTCCAACGCTATGCAGTGCTCGTTGTGTGAGCCCTGATCCAAAAATCCGATCATGGAACTTCAAGCAAACAGCGGAATTTTTAGGACGGAAGTCCAACGTGCCGTTAGGCTCAGCACGGCCCGTACTGCCCTCTGACATCACGTGGCCTTAAACGTGACCGGCGCCACCGGCTGCGGGCCATCCCGGTGGGGGGCAAATAGCGAGCGTCTGAAAAGATGCGAGCCCATCTCGCCACGGGGGCGGGGGCGGGGTGAATCGGAAGTGGACGGGCTCATCACCTGAGCTACCGGGACGGACCGTCCTCTTCTACTGTGAGGGCAGTGTTTGAATCCCATGAGGGGCTTTCGGTATCCAGGCTTTGGTTGCCTCGAATAAGCTCGGTAGTAGATTGCTATTCGCCGTTCCGCATTTTGTGATCCGTTTCCGTTAGGTGTGTTTATGTGACACACCCATGCCTTGTCTTGCTGAACCTTACCCACGTAGAGTGTCAGCGAGACAGTATGCGTTCGACAGCGTCTGATGATTGGATGCTCGTTTCTCACCTGGTCATAACCGCCGTGCAGCCGTGCTAAGTTGTGCACGATCCACGCCCGTTGGACGTGCCGGCTCTGACCACCGGGCGCCGCCTCCGGCAGGAAGTACGCGCAGCGTTCGCCCGCCGACCTGGCGGCCGACCAGCCGGCCGTGCTGGCGCTGCTGACCCGCTACCGGGTCACGGCCGGGACGTCGCGCGGCGAGGGCGACGGCGCGCCCGGCGGGTCCGAGCGCAAGGTCAGTGGAGCTGCGGCCTGGCCACAGGGGCGGCTCAGCAGCAGCGGCCGGCCGGCACCGGACGCGGGGGACGGGGCGGCTCCGAACACGACGGACGCCTCCCGGCTGATCCACAGGTGTGAGGATTGATAGCAAGGTCCGGCGCTTACTTCCAGAGATTGATTTACGAACGGTGAGAATGAACTGAGGTTATGATATTGTCATATTGCGCTTGATTTTTGCGACGGAAACGAAATTAAACAATTAACAGAGCTGGAATAGTGTACACCAGCGCCTGCCTCCATCATCGTTTTTCGGTCTCGTCTTTTTTAAAATGTATAACAGAGCATAATTGGGATGGTGGATGAAAAGGTGGCATCCCACGCGACCAATGTTGGCAGTGGCCCGGTGGCTCTGATGCGATAGTGTTGTTACAATTGGCGATAGCGTGCTGTCTGGAGGTGTGCGTCGCTTACCGCACAGCTGCCACACCAGCCGTGGGGCGGGGGTGGGGGGTGGGGGAGGGGGCGGGTTGGAGTGGGGAGAATGGACCGGTCGGAAGGTAAAGGGAATGTGCCGGAACGGTCCGGAATGGTCCAGAACGACAAGCGTCACGAATGTTCTGCGAGCGTGACGAATGTTCCAGAAGCGTAACGAATGCTTTGGATCATATAGAATGATGTAGAGGTTTCCGGAACGGATAACCCGCTAGAATGCTTTCGGGGCGTGAGGCATCTGTGGGATGTAGAGATACAGGCTGTAGAACCCTACTTTTCCAAAACATGGCATGAGCTCGATGTACTCCCAAAGTGGTTTGCATTGAACTGAGGGACGTTTTGTCTCTAGCGCGCCAGTGATCCCCAGTCGTGCTGGAATGTCCTAGGTGTCATTATTCGTAGGGCTCAGTCGGTCATACATGACAGTCACAGTATTGTTAACTCGATTTCAGTCATTTGTCAGTGAACATCGAATGGGAGTGAAAAGCGAACTCAGTCCTGAAGAGTAGGTACCAGGGCCACTGCAACTGCTGCACGTAAAAGCGTGTCATGGGAAAATGAATAAAGGAGCACGACCATGCGAGCGATGTGAGCGATGCTGAAGCGTCCCTTCCTGAGCGAGAGGCGTGATAGCGCATGCATGCCGGTCCATTGTGGTGCACTTCAATTGCTCGATGTGTTGCGTCTCGCCGTGCAACGGCATTCCGATTTCGCGCTGCTGATCCGGTTTTTCAGCAAGTTGTCTGCAGTCAAGCATGAGCCACGAGCATGAGCCCGAACTGGCTCGGAGTAAGTGTTGCGCAGGTTCATGCGTTCTGCGCAGTGGAGACATTCTATCGGAGCTAGTTGTGTAGTACCATGCATGCCGGCAGGAAGACGCCGATTAAGGTGCAGGTACTATGCAGGTGCTCTGCGTCATGAATGTCGCGGTGGTAAGACTTTTGCAGACATGCATTTTCCATGAGAAGGAGCCTTTACTAAGTCGATGCAAGCGTTGCGCAGGCCCGCGCGTTCTGCGCATCGGGGAAGCGGGGGTTGGAAGGGGGGGGGGGGCATTCCATCGGAGCTGGTTGTGCACTGCCATGCATGCCGGCACGACGGCGCCGAGATTGGCGAGCAGGGCTTGCGCGTCATAAGTGCTGCCATAGTCTCCGCAGGCATGATGTTTTGCGGGTTAACTTAGCTCACTAGCATATAAGGTAGCCATCTCGGACAGCGTCGCTGCATGAACGATTGCGATTAAGCTTTTGATTGCACGCTGCGTCCCGTGTAAGTGAACGTTATTTACTCGTACTTAACCGTGCAGCCTGCAAACTTTTATGATTCAGTGCGCAGTAGGAGGTATAGAGGTAAAACACTTCCTCACACGCGGCACTGGGGCCAAGCTTGATCAATGTGTACCGGCCTAGGCGCCGGTGAGGCCTGGTGTGCGCTGGTACTGGTACACATAGCCACTCACGGTGCTCAGCGCAATGCATGCCAGCGCATTCTGGAAGGCATCGACCAAGTCTTGATATAGTCAGCTCTTACCGCTCCGGTATCGACGGGATTGAGTAACGGCCTCCTATACAGTGATGCGGCGTTGTCGACGTTCCTCTGTTTGGTATTGCTGTCCCCGAGAATGGTTCATCCACCATTCACCAGTCGCGGCCAGAATAGGCTGGCGACCTTCGGTTGTAGAGCATTGCATAAACTCGGTGTTGTTCACGCGTTAGCGTGTACGTTGCGTGTGGTGGGTGCTGCTCACCCCAAAATTGTCACGCCATACTCAGTTTGGTGAGGTGGCTGGTATATTGTGAGGCTCGCTGTCGCGCATTGGATGCACATGATGCACGTCTCTCAACGGAACACGTGTGCCGCGTTGTGTGAGCCTCCCCGGCGCGACCCCGCCCGGGCAGCGACGCGCGCCGGCCGTTCCAGCGTGCAGCCAGTGTTTGGGGGCCAGGCCCCAGGCGGGCGCGTCAGAGGGCTGACATGTCGGTTGTCGTGAGGCCTCAGACAGGTTTGTCTTCGGGCTGGCATGTCGGTTGTCTTGGGGCCTCAGACCGGTATGCCTTGGGACTGACATGTGGGCTGTCTTGAGGCCTTAGACAGGTATGTCTTGGGACTGACATGTCGGCTGTTTTGGAGCCCCAGCCAGGTTTGTCTGGGGGCTGACGTGTCGGCTGCCTCGCCAGATGTCTCAGACGGAGCGGCGCTCGGAGACAGCCTCACCGGCCACCGCGCACTCGGCCGGCGGCGGGGAGCGGCACACGCTCGTCTCGCGGCTCGACAGCGTCGGCTCGCTCACCTCGCTGCTGAGCGACGCCGCGCTAGGCCCGGCGTCTTCGGCCGGCGCCGCGCCCTCGCCGCCGCCGCCACCGCTGGCCGACCGGCAGCCGCAGGTGAGGAGGCGAGCTGGAATGGCCGCCGGAGGGCTGGAGGAGGCCAGCGCGGGCCCGGGCCGCCGGAGGGCTGGAGGAGGCCAGCGCGGGCCCGGGCCGCCGGCTCCGGGGGGCTGCCATCGGCTGGGGGACGCCAGTGCGGTGCTCGTGCGTGCGCCGTTCTCTGCCGAGTGCCCGGGACGGTGTGTGGTGACGGACGGCTGGCGGACGCGTCTGTGACGCACGTGGAGCCGATGACACCCACGGCTGCAGGAGCGGCGTCAACGGCCGGTCGCAGCGAAGCCGCCGGGACTGGCGTACATGTCACCGCTGGTGGCATCGGTACGGCTTCTCCAGCCATGGCAACTGGACACTTGTCACCACACGCGCAGACCTTCTATTTGCGCTTAAGCGTTGTGTGAATGTTTTTTTTAATAAATTTGGTCCGAATCCTTTGAATGGATGGATTTCTGGGATCAGCGCTCACGCTAAGCAGTGCTTGTTGTGTGAGCCATGACCCCCACCATCCGATCGCGCAGTTCCAGGCAACGGCAGAATTTAGTGGCGAAAGCTTAACGTGCCGCAATGCTCGGCACGGTCCGTCCTGCCCTCTGACGTCAACTGACCTTTAGCGCGACCGCTGCCACCGGCCGCAGGCCATACCTGCCAAGGGCAAATAGCGAGCGCCCTAAAGCGACTGGAACCCATCCCGCCACGGATGGGTGGGTCGGAATGCAGGCGCTCTAACCAACTGAGCCACCGGGACGGACAATATGCGTTAAGAGCCGTACTTTCATACGTAGCAGCCGCACCTGACTTGTCCCGCACATTGTGGACGTGCGTGCCGCGGCCGGTGCGTCGGCCGCCGCGCCCCGGGAGCCGCCCCCTTCGCTGACGCCGCGCCGTGCTGGGCAGCTGTGTGGTGACCTGTTGTGGCCGGTGCGCCGGGTCGCCGCGCCGCGGGAGCCACCCCCTCCGCTGACGCCGTGTCGTTTTGGGCAGCTGTGCGGTGACCTGCTGTGGCCAGTGCGCCCGCTGGTGACGGACAGCCGGCTGCACCTGCTGTGGCCGCAGCCGCGTCGCCTCCAGCAGCTGGGCGGCGCGCCGTTCTGTCCGCCCAAGGCGCTGGCGGTGGCCGTCTCCCGCAGCAGCAGCGTCGGCCTGCACAGGTACGGCCGCCGGCCGGCGACACACACGGTGCGGATTGGTGTCACCGGGGAGCTGGCGAATAGGTGGCCTTGTATGTTTGCTTGGTACGGGCTTCAGCATGTGCTGGAATCCATTCACTTGGCTCGTATTGTGGTCTCACGTCAGCCTGCACAGTAGTGATGCAATTCCCCCGGTGGCTAGTCAGCATGGTCTGGCCGCGGTGAAACTGGCGGGGAGCAGTTCATTCTCTTCGATATTTCCTTTTTGTACAACTTGACCACCTGGGTTTCTTCGATTCGCGTACTTTTCTATTTCCCGCCAAATGCTCGCACCGTTGTGGAGTTTCGTCGTCGCGGGGCCGAGTCTTCAACGCTGTTCGCGTCTGACCGGCGCCATTTCGCAGCATCCTGGACACGTGGGACGTGCACCGTACCGACTTCGCCGCACTCGGCTGTAACATCAAGATGGCGGGCGTGCAGAGCGGCTCCAGTGGCCAGCTGACGGCCGACGTTCTCTGTACGGTCTCAGACAGACTCATGTCCGTGCCCGAGTCGTACAACCTGACCATCCGCGCGAAACAGGTGGGCAGCGACACGTGTTTCTCGCAGCCGTCGTATCACGTTCAGGTGTCTGTGTCAAGCGGATCGCGAGGACGCCGCCGCTAAACAGTCTGCCGTCTGCCGGCCGTCTGCCGAGCCTCGACGGTGATCACGTCGAACACTGATGGAGAACGCGGTTCTGCGTGACTGGTTCGTGATCCTCGCGATGAGCGCCACGGGCGGCGGCCTGTCCGAGCCCACGTATGTCCCCCGCGCAGCGGAGATTCACGTTAGCCGCGGCCGTGCCCGCCCCGCCCCGCCCCCGGCCTCGCCTTGGCCGAGCCACCCCAGCCCCGGCGGGCCCGACCCACCGCGCCAGCCACGGTCGAGGCGATGGGGGCACCGACGGCGCTGGCCCCGGTCCCGAACGGGGCGTGGACGCCGTTTAACCGAACACGCGTGCCAAAGGTCGGCTGGCAGCTGGCCAGGGGCTGTCCGCCGGCCACGGAGCGGCCGTCTTGTAACGTGGTATGCCTCAAACCGGCTGCCGGCTGTTTCGACGGATAGGCCGGAATGCAGCACGTATGGAGCTAGCGTGTTATGCAATGAATAACGGCAGTAGCCATGAGGACCGACGACTGGGGACTGGTGCCGCACATTTGTTTGTCTGTCTCTTCCTGTGACAGATTGCGGTTGCGGGCTCTTGTCAGAAGTGCCCCGAAATGATAAAAAGAAACAGGCTTCTGAAAGTCATGCTGCCCCACCCGTGTGCCCTAGTGTTAGCTGCGGATCTGCCCGCCCAGGCCGCGTATCCGAGTGTCAGTTCACCTTCCCGCTCTCCGGCTGGCATGTGCGCTTGCTGCGTTAGCTCACCGCCTGCCCGCCAGGCTCGGGTGATCCTCTGGACTCATCCAGGCGGGTGGTTAAGCTCTGCCGTTCGGAGGCTCCGTATGCGACTCCCCCACCCCCCTCTCCGTGAGGTCCTTGCGCTCCCACCAAGTCGCCGGGTGACTGAAGCGTTAATTGCTTGTCTCGCCGCCAGGTTCGCATTTGTGCCGGCGACGTAGCCGGCCTGCGTCACGCGCTGTCGAGCCTGCTGCAGCTGCTGCGACTGTACAGGGAGGACGGCTGTCCGCAGCTGCTGGTGGCCGACCAGCCGCGACTGGCGGAGCGCGCCCTCCTCCTGGACCTCAGCCCGCATGGCCGCGTGCCCCGCCTGGTCAGTGGGCGGGTCGGCTCGGGGGCCCGTTCAGGGGGTTAGGGAGCGGGCGTCAGTCACCAATCAGTGGGGACTGGTCAGGCAGGGGATCAATCGTCAGGCGAAGCTCTGTCAGGGATTGTCACTCGTTGGTCGGTGGAGGCTGGACGGTCAGAGATCAGTCACTCAGATCGGTCAGATTAGAGTCACATCAGTCAGCCATCGGTAAGCGCACACAGGCATGGATCGATCGGCATTCTACGGCCAGATGGAGATGAACGGTCACCGATCTAAGTCAGACCGGCAGTCGCCGTTCAGTGGTGGATCGTCGGCCAGGATTCAGTCCGGACTGGCCACGCAGGAAACGTCGCCAGCGATCAGTCGAAGCGAGATAGTCAGTGGTTAGTCGGGGCTCAGTCTGGGCTGGGCGGTCGGGATCAGTGGTCAGTCGGTATAGGTCACCAGTGAGCGTCCAGTCTGGTCTGTCATTCGGAGCGGCCGCCAGCTATACCGACAGATGCCAACGGCGACATTGGGAAATATCGAGGCTCTCTGCGGGATGGCCGGTGGTAAAGGCCTGTGTTGCCCACATTGAAAAGCCATTTGTGGAAATGTACGCTTATTAGCGCTTATGTTAAGGAAAACTATCGCTAGTTTGGCTGATATTGCTTAGTTGTATTTTGTTTTGTTAACATGAACAGCGGCCTCTCACGAGCTTTGATGAGATCCTCTACCAACGGTGTTTTATTTAAGCGCTTCATTTTAATGGAAACGGTATTTCTCACACGTGTATGTCTGTGAACGGTGAAAATGAACGGAGAGTGTTGCTATGCCACACGTTCCAGAATACGGCGCCAGTGGCCGACTGGTATTTGTGAAGTTATATCCAGTCACGTGGATGCGCAGCATTCACAAGCATATACCCTTGGTGGTGGTGGTGGCGGTGGAGGGCGGGGATGTCATTGTCCGATCCTGACCGCTGCTGGTTGTCACAGATGTCAGTCGGGGTGTTAGGCACGCCTGCCAATAAATCCTACTGACGCCTTCACATTCTCCCCTGGCTGCCTTCGTGCTGCGCGAAAGACCTGAAACTACTGTGATCGGCCCCGCCCGCACCCGCTCCGTGCCACGTGCCGCTGAGGACCCCCTGTCCGGGCCGTCCCTTCACGCCCGCCCACTCCGCCCTGACACCTGGCGGCCCGGTCCGCACCCGCTCCGTGCCACGTGTTGCTGAGGACCCCCTGTCCGGGCCGTCCCTTCACGCCCGTCCACTCCGCCCTGACACCTGGCGGCCCGGTCCGCACCCGCTCCGTGCCACGTGTTGCTGAGGACCCCCTGTCCAGGCCGTCCCGTCACGCTCGTCCACTCCGCCCTGACACCTTGGCGGCCCGGTCCGTACCCTGCTCCGTGCCACGTGTCGCTGAGCATCCCCCTGTCCGGGCCGTCCCACCCGTCCACTCCGCCCTGACACTTGGCCGGCCAGGTCCGCACCGGCTCCGTGCCACGTGCCGCTGGGCACCCCATGTCCGGGCCGTGCCGCCCGTCCACTCCGCCCTGACACCTGACCGGCCCGCCGCCAGGAGTCGCTCTGCCACCTGGTCGACTCGGCGGCCGGCCTCAAGCTCAACCGGCTGCACCTGCTTCAGCGGTTCGGCGCCGCCGGCACCAGGCTGCCGTTCTCCATACCGTGAGTGCGCCGCGGCATCCGCCAGCGTCCCCAGCACCGTCCGACCTGCGGCTCATCCCGTCACAGGCTGTGGCATGTGTACGTGTGTGATATATGGGCAGCGGGGCCCGCCTTCTGATACCCAGCGGTGGGCCCCGTCCGATCATCATCACCGTCGTCGTCATCGTCATCGTCAACGTCATTTCCTTATCATTTTTACTATTGCCATAATCATTATCATGATGACACCCAGCGAACGGAAGGTGTTCTCGCTGGTCGCGCTGGCCGGCATGGGACGTGCGCTGGTTTACCATTATGCAGGCACCCACCGGCCGCCATCCGCATGTTTCGCACGCCACGGAGCTGTGTGAGCCGAACGGCCGGCCCCTTGTGCTGCGTGACCGGGGCTGTGTGTGTGCCGGCACCCAGAGTCCCTCCTGCCCGAAACAGGGAGCTGGTGTCGCTGGATCGCTACTGCACGGATCGAGGCGTGGCGGTGGTGCCGGCGCTCGAGGTGCCGGTCGGCTCATCGCTGGAGTCGCTACAGTCGAGCCGGGCCGACATGGACGCCTTCATCAGCTGCTTCGCCAGCGTCAGGTGGGTGACGCGCCCTGCCCCGCCCGCTGCCTGTCTGCGGCGCCATGCGCGTGCAGCGGTGCACTTGTCACAGCGGTCTCAGTGAATATCGCGCGACAACCGGATCGGGGGTTTCATATCGCTCCACTCCACGCTGTGCGCGCCAACGCCGCCAGGAGCGGCGCTGGCCTTGGTCCCGACTCCGGCGTGCTCCGCCCTGCCGTGCCCGAGCGTGCCGGCGCTGGCCTTGGTCCCGACTCCGGCGTGCTCCGCCCCGCCGTGTCCGAGCGTGCCGGCGCTGGCCTTGGTCCCGACTCCGGCGTGCTCCGCCCTGCCGTGCCCGAGCGTGCCGGCGCTGGCCTTGGTCCCGACTCCGGCGTGCTCCGCCCTGCCGTGCCCGAGCGTGCCGGCGCTGGCCGTGTGCACTGACGGCCGGCCGGCGCCGCAGGTGGGTGCACTTGGGCCCGCACCTGAGCGGGCTGCTGTGCGGCGGCAGCGGGCCGCCGCTGCTGCACCTGCTGCCGCTGCCGGCCGGCGCCGCGCCGCTGCTCTGCGCCAACTCGCTGCGCGCCGCACTGGACCGGCTGCCCGCCGACGTCGTGCTGGTCGAGTACGGCTTTCAGGTGGGTGGGCGGAGACTGAGGCCGACTTCCAGGTAGATGGGCGGAGACTGCGGCCCGCTTCAGGCCCGGGGCATGGTGTGCAGACTGTGGGACGTGGCGGCCGGTGCTCTGGTGGCGGGTCAGTGACCGGCACGCGGATTCCGAGTCACTGGAGCATTAGGATCTGCTGAAGGTAGCTGCGCTGGTTGTGGGGTTGTGTTGTCAGGTTTGCTGAGATAGCATGCTCACAGATGCCGTTGGAAATAGACTATACTTCACTTCACGCGTCTCCAGCAGCGGACCCCGACTGAGCGCGACGATGTCGCCGGATAGGGCCGCATCAGCTGGTACAGAACGCGAGAGACTGAGGAGCTCGGCTTACAGATTGTGCTGGGTTTGCGATGACTCTCGTACACATCTGCGGTGACTGGTGCCGAACCACGAGGCGGCGACGCGTCCGTCAGCCCCCCAGCACCGCCCGGCCTGAGGTTGCCCCGCAGGCTGTGACATGTGTGCGATGTGTTGTATGTATTGTATTGTATTTATGTATATGTATTGATGTGTTGTATCGATGTTTGCCCGACAGGCAAGTATTGCGAGTGGTGGGCGTCTCGGCAAGGCTTCTGAAAATAGTATTTATGCGATCAATACAGTTTTGTGTAGGTAACGTAAAGTTTTAGCAAAGTTTACTCGCCCAATCCGCAGTGTGAGTCGCGCCGCAGTGTGTACGAACGACTCAATGCGCCCCTGGCGGCGGACAGGCAGACTACGACTTCAGCGAGCCCTGCCAGGCGGCGGCCGAGAGGGGCCTGGCGCTGATGACGACCGCCGGCACGGCCGCCTGGAGCTCGCTGGCCGGCTGTCCGGAGGCGGTGGTGCTCAACGTGGCGCACGCGGCGCGCGCCGCCGCCGAGCTGGTGCGTACCGAGATGGCCTGGCGTCTCCGGACACGGGGTCGAACAGGGGCGCGGGCTGAGGCCGGAGAGCCGATCAGCCTCGCGTCTCGTGTAAACCAGCGCTGTAGCGTGACGTACGCGCCCGGCTGGCGCACCACACCGCGCCGCCCGGCCACAAATATACGACCAGTTCGAGCGGAACTGCCGTGCAAAGGCAAAACCGCATCTGGCGGAGGAGGAGGGGGGGCGGGGGAGGGGGAGGTCCGCCAGGAACCCTCGGGATCCACGCGTGGCTCGGCAGGGCCAGCGGCTCGAGTGTCTCCCAGACGGCCGCGCCGGCCCTCGGGCGTGTTGACTTATTCAGCCCCGTGTTGACGTCAAGTCGTGACGTCACAGCAACAGTTTATGGCGTCGGGCGTGTACCACTGGCAGCTGTGCGGCGTGCAGAGAACCGGACGTCACGAAAGGGGATCCGACTCAGTGTGATCGTTAAGACTGTTCACATAATCGCGTCACATCATGTGATATGATGTGACGCGATGTGACGTTGATGTTAGAAATCCGAGTTCCTATGCGGTTCCCGGGTCCGGATCTGTGCATGTGGCCTCATGGGCTCCTCCCCCTGCTTTGCGGGCATATCACCTGACCGACGGGCTGTTCCAGTCTTCTCATTAAAAGTTGCCCTTGTCGCAGTTGTGGGAAAACGATGTCTACACATATCGCAATTCAAGCTCTGTTTCACTGGATATGAGCAAGAAGGCACCTGAGGTGCTGATTTTTCAGCATTATGCGTTCAGAGTTCTCATGCTGACAGTGATCGGCCTTGAGTATGCTATGGGGTGCTGGTTAAACGACGTTAGCAATGAATTATTCCTTATATGAAAACATTACACCAATGTTTGCTTGGAAGCGTCGTTTCACCAGTATCTCCTAGCATCATGAATGTCGACAACTCAGCATAAGAAGTCCAAACTCATATTTCTGTCGCGTTGTAGCCATCCAACTTTTACGTCTGTGTGCTTCATATCCGGATCTGGATTGGTGACATCATAATGCGTTAATCGTATTAGGAGTCCGGTGATAGTTTTGTCACAGATTGACACTGAGATGAACTCTTTGCAGCGGACGGGAACTATGTGTCGCAGATGGGACTCTGTTCAACCTCTTTGTGGCAGACCGGGGCTGGTATAAGCTTTGATTTCTGGTGTTACATTCGTACCGCGAAATATCATTGGCGACAGCTTTTTATCGCACATGTGGGTCATTGTGATCTATGTATGACAGATGGGCGTCATTATGATCTCCGTGTGACAGATGAGTACAGGTATGATCTCCGTGTGACAGGCGATCTCTCTGTGACGGATTGGTGCCGGTATGATCCCTGTTTGACAGAAGATCTGTGTGACAGATGGACGCCGGTATGATCTCTGTGTGACAGGCGATCTGTGTGTGACAGATGGGCGCCATTATATCTTTGTGACAGATGGCTGCAGGTATGATCTTTGTGTGACAGGCGATCTCTTTGTGATGGATGGACGCCGGTATTATCCCTGTTTGACAGACGATCTGTGTGACAGATGGACGTCGGTATGATCTCTGCGTGATCGACGATCTCTGGGTGACAGATGGGTGCCGGTATGATCTCTGTTTGACAGACGATCTGTGCGACAGATGGGCGCCGGTATGATCTCTGTGTGACCGGCGATCTCTGTGTGACAGATGGGTGCCGGTATGATCTCTGTGTGACCGGCGATCTCTGGGTGACAGATGGGTGCCGGTATGGTCGTGGCCGACTGGCGGGCGGACGGCGGACTGAGCCACGGCGTGTTCTCGCTGCCGGGCCTGCTGGTGGCCGCCGGCCTGGCCTGGAACCCAGACACGCCCACCGTGAGTACGCCACCGCACCGAGCGCGTGCGGCGGCTGTGTGCGGCTCCACCGCTTCAGCCGGCCGCCCCGCCGCCCCGCCGGCATGGGAAGGCCCCGGCCTCTGTAAACAGGGCTGGCGTGTTTATGCCGCGGGCCAGGCTGCACGGCTGCACAGGCCGACGGCCGTCACCGTGCCGTCCTGCAGTGGTGCGGCGCAGGCTGGGCCTGCAGGCCGCGGTCATGACGGCGGCGGGCTGGGGCCCGTCAGCCGCCACAGTGTCTGCCGCTTCCCACACGCTCTCCAGTCAGGGCCGATGTGGCTGGAGTCTGCTGGTAATTGGTCACCACTGATCGTTTCAGCAAGGATGACCCTTATGCGCGGGGTCTCGCTGCTTTTGCTGCCCTGCGTGCTTTCCGAGCTAAAATCAGCGGAACATCTTGCAGGCTCGCTGCAGCCTCAGCGCTGCAGTGTACAGGCGCCCGGGTTTCCCAGGCGTGGCCCTTGGATTCTGTGCGCGGCCGGCGTCTGTTGCCGAGAAGTGTCGTGGGAGCGTCACTGCCTTCCACATTGGCTGCAGACACAGATTGGTAGATAAAGGCGTTGTGAACCACATGAACCTGTCGGTTTAACTAGTTGGTTTTCTCGGGGGTCTTTCTTCAAGCCGTTGCGTGTTGGGTTGATTGATGATCCTCAAATTTACATCGGCCAAATTTGGGGTCGTTTTTCCAACACGGTCGTACTTACGTCTCATTGTATTCCGCCCTGCCATGCCATCAACCTTGGCTTCCGAGCTACTGGGGTTGCGGTGTCTGGCAAAGTGCGCTGTGTACAGCCAGAAGCTCAGGCTCGTCAGATGGGACGGATGTGAGACATTTGTACGCTAGTTTATAACTTTTTGAGCGTGTTTTTCGTGTTGTATCGCGAAAGCATTTGTGATTAGTGATATAGCGATAAAAACATACACGTGCGCACTATACGGCAGAAATCCGCCTGTGACACTGGCGGGCCGGCCACGGCCGCACGTTTGCAGCGGGACCTCTGTTTCCGTGAGTCGCACGCACGCGTGCATGCGGCAGGCTTGTCTTGATGTATGCGACCTGTGGCCAGAAGCCCCAGTACCCCCGAGTGAGGCCCGTGGTCGGTCGCCGAATCGAAGGGTCTGTTTGGGGGCAGACCGTGCCCGTCGCCCCGACCGCTGGCTGGCACGGCAGTGGTCTGGTGACGGTGCGACAGCCCCCACCCCGCCCCTCCCTCCCCCTGCTGCCACATCCCGGGCTGAGAAGACCACCGAAGTCAGGCCGGCCCGCGCGTCAGCCTGGTGGGCAGCTGAGCCGGGCTCCGCTGGAGGGAACTCATGTTCGACGCTGTTCTCTTAGCTGTAGTGTATATCAACGTGTTTATCATTATAACGAGCGAAATGGCACGTGTTTATGCGGCGATTGGCAAGCATCGTCTTGGAAATACTCCGTATGATCAAAGGACAGTGTTGTAAATATTTATTTTGGGACTATCACAGAAAATCACAAAAAATATTTGTCCATCTCCCCCACAGCTCATAACGACTCTCACTACGATCAACGAACGTTGTATGGTTGCAAGTCAACTCTGGCGTCCACTGGCCAAAAAACAAAGATGCAGACGGCTCTTAAAACTGAAGAATGTTCATCACTGACACGTATGCAGTACGAAAAATCCCGCCTCGGCCCCTTTATGCGGGGAGGTTTCCTTCACTTATCGTAATCACTTGTTCGCTCACATTGCAAACTGTCTTCAATCACTCCTGCTACGAACAGATGCTTGCGTAGAGTCTATGGCTCACATGATTCCGCACTGTGTTCTGTGTTATCTGCTGGCGCGACATAGCATCTGGAGGCATAGGGTTTTGATAGTTCATCAAAATGGGTGGACGCAGCCGCCGTGTTAGACTGGTTTCAGCCGACAGTGCCGTCCTGGTCTCTGCCGAGCATGCTGTGCTGATATCTGCCGAGCGTGGCATGCTGATCCCAGCCGAGCGTGCTGTGCTGATATCAGCCGGGCGTGCCGCGCTGATCCCAGCTGAGCGTGCTGTGCTGATATCAGCCGGGCGTGCCGTGCTGATCCCAGCTGAGCGTGCTGTGCTGATATCAGCCGGGCGTGCCGCGCTGATCCCAGCTGAGCGTGCTGTGCTGGTATCTGCCGGGCGTGCCGTGCTGATCCCAGCTGAACGTGCTGTGCTGATATCTGCCGGGCGTGCCGTGCTGATCCCAGCTGAGCGTGCTATGCTGATATCTGCCGGGCGTGCTGTGTCTCTCCCGGGCGTGCTCTGCTGATTCCAGCGTAGCCTGCTGTGCTGATCTCAACCAAGGTTGCGAGTCTTATTTCGGCCGCCGCCGCCGAGTCCGTCCAGTTCCTTGTTGACGCAGCGCCCATCTGGCGTCTCGTGGAACCCGGCCGGGCAGAACTCGCGCGCCTCGGGCACCGCCACCGTGCGGAAGCCGGACCGGAACTTCTGGAACAGCTCCTCGCGACACTGACCCTGGAAGTCGAGCATCGAACCCGGCGCGCAGCGCACCTTGGGCAGGTCGAAGATGGCCGTCAAGCCGAGGTGCACGCACTCCAGCTGCAGTGTATCGACGCCGACGATCAGCCGTCCGTCCGCACACGGCCGGTCGTACTCGTTAATTGCAAAACAGGCGGGCTCCGCCGCCTCGTCCTCTCTCCAGAGGGCTTCGTCGTCGGCGCACGGCGTCGGCAGGCAGCGGGCTGACGTCTGATTGGCGGGCAGCATCACGTGTTGGCCGGCGGCACACGGGCCGCGCCGGAACACCTGGAAGCAGCGCCGCTCGGCCGGCCAGTACACGTGCAGCGCGCGGCAGTCGCAGAAGCCGTGACCGAACTCGTCCAGGAAGACGACCATGCCGGCCGGGCAGGAGCCGTTGGCGTCGGCGCCGCTCGGTCGGCACTGGCCGGCAAACAGCGCCTGGCCGGCCGGGCAGGGCCGCGGCCGGCAGCCGGCGTCGCCGCTGTTGCGGTCGACCACGAACCAGTAGCCGTCCGGACAGTTGTCGCCGGTCCACAGCTGCTGGCACTCGCCGGTGGCGTTGTTGTACGCCTGGTAGGGCTCGCCGCCGCAGCGCGGCAGCGGCCGCAGCGGCGCCGCCGGCCCATCCTCGAACGTGATGCCGCCGGGCGAGGGCCGCAGGCTGGCTGGCCGTGGCGCTGGGGTGTCCACAATCACGGCCGGCGCAGGCGCGCGGGCCGCCTCATCGGGATCGGCGCTGGCCGCCGGCGGCTCGGGCGTGCGCTCGGCCGGTGCCGACGTAGGCCGCACGGTCCACCCCCGACCGACGACGGTCGGGGCGCGGCGGCGCGCGGTCGGGCAGCACGGCCTCGTCGCCGCCGCTGCTCGGCCGCGTCCACTGTGGCTCTTCGCCCGGGAAGAAGAAGCCGCCGTCAGTCGGACGCGACAGCCGATGCTGGCGCCGGCGCGGAAGGAAGCGCGGCACCACCGAGCCTTCCACCACGTCGCCCGGGAAGAGGATGTCTTGGCCGGGCCGGGCGTGCAGGCTGCCGGCGGCCACCAGCAGCGTGCCGGCCAGCAGCAGTCGGCGGGCCAGCACCATGGCGCGCGGTGGAAGAGCGGGCGCGCGCGTGCGATGAGACGCGACTGACGCTTTTCGCAGGCGGGCGAGCCCGGCGCTGGTGGCTAGGGACGGCTCGGAGGCGGCCGCGGGGCGCTGGACTTCGATCTGACACGGATCAACGGCGTAATTGGCAGCCGGAGCTGGGCTGGCTAGTCGGCCGGTCGGCACTGTACACGTGTGCCGGGACACGCCGGTCGCTGTCGAAGCTCGTCCCCGCTACACGCGTGTCGCGGGATACGTCGCCCGCTTGCGTCGTCCGATCACTGAGACGCCAGCGCGCCTACCGCCGATTCATATACCTGCCGGCGGCCGCCATTCGGCAACTGACCAATGAGAACAGAGCAGGTGTGATGTCAACGACGCGACGGCCCTGCCGCCGGCGCTGTCGTGGTGTAACGTCATACCTGGCTGGGTTTTCAGAGTTCGAAGAATTGCTGGTTTCCCCACATCTTGAGCACACAGTATGGTAAGCAACAACCCACATCGCTATCAGATTACGCGCCTGGGATTTTAATAGCCCTTGAATAAACTTGTCATTAGCTTACATTCTCCAGGCCGCTCCATGGCAAAATTCAACATTTCTGAAGAGGCCTGCGTACAGGACTGGATTGATGCCGCGCCTGTTTTCACCTGAGGTACTGTTAAACAGCGGCCAATGCGCCGACCGGGTCTCCGCGCGCGCCTTCCAAGCATCAATGCGCTGGCTCCCATCGAATGGCGAGATCGACAGCCAGGCGCTGCCAGGGCAAATTTGACGTAGCTGCCGACGGACCGACCGAATGGATGATGCGCCGTGTACTCTCATTGGCGGCCTCCCAGCGCAAATTTGACGTACCTGCCAATGAACCGACCGAATGGATGATGCGCCGTATACTCTCATTGGTGGCCTCCCAGGCTGCCGCACGTACACTGCCGAGTGGTTAAGGGCAATACGGACGAAGTTGTAATTTTGGCGTCGAGAGAGAGAAACTGAAAGCCTCGGAAGACCTTTCTAGGTTTGATTTGACTCACAAATCAAACTTGACTCTCATGCTGCATACACCTTACGGCATACTGTCGTTTACATTACGACCTATCGGTCTGTATACAGATTCAACACAGCTGCTCTTGATGCTCGCATCTGTCGATAATTCGTGGCGACGGCACTGGAAGTGCTGGAAACGTGGTCCTAGTGCAAAAGAGCTGACAAGCATTGCTGTTAACAAGAGCTATTTCGCTTTATGGGTAGTTTCATAGCAGGGGGTCAGCTCACGATTCTCTACCTGGCCTGCGGTTATTCCATTCAATTTTTCTAGCAATGTTGACATTCTGGCCAGATGTGGTCGACGTTTCTTACGCGGAGAGCGTCGCCAACTCAATGGAGGCACCCCGTCTTCGACCCAGTTAGTAGATATTG